ACAGACTACTGGCGGTCATGAAGCAAGGCCAGCTGCCTGGTTTGGAAAATTGTGGAGTATCGATTTGCCGATCATTTTTGCGAATGCAAAGGAAGTATATAATCCCGAGGTGCAGCCTGGTGGGCCGTGATGGTTATTTTGAGACTGCAAGATGTGCGGTTGAAATGGCCATGACGTGGCTGGGACAAATTTTGGAACTCTGAGACCTAAAGCGAGACCATCGATACCCGCAGCTTTAGTTGAACAAGTTGAGTTCCACATGGTTACTGCTGTGTTGGAGCTCCAAGGTTGCGCTTTGACAAGGAGAAATTGCCAGTTGTCGGCGTCTTGTTTGCAACACGGGTGCTGTTAATATGCATTCCCTTGTTTCCATCGGCTGTCCATTGAGTCTTGGTTCATGATTGCACACGTCCCATCAAGCGAGAAACAATGATGCTTTTGGATAGAAAAACTGCCTTGGGACCATGACTTGAGCAAAAAGCGCACGAAGCACATTGCGCAAGCTGCTTCTTGCTTTGTTTGTTGGACTTGGATTTGGTCTCCATGATTGATGCGTGGTCAGCGTTTGCTGGGAGGCGGTGTGCTCAACGCCACTGTTGTGGGACAGACATGGTACGCTGATCGTTTGATCAACAGTGGTCATGCACTTAGCCAGCGGCCCACTCTGAATACTTGGTCCAAGCAAATGCAAGGAAACGCCGCATTGCAACGATAGGACATGTTGTGTCAAGAATTATCTTCGAAAGCAACTCGGTGCTATTAGGTTGGAGGCCATCGCTATTAGGTTGGAGGCTATCGATGTTAGGTTGGAGGACATCGCTATTAGGTTGGAGGCCATCGCTATTCGAAAGCAACTCTGTGTTTTTTTGTCATTCTTTGAAGATGTGCTTGTCGAGGTATGGGCTTCCGGATGGGCGATTGGTTTGCTTTCGAGGTCGGATGTTGACAAAAGTGCATTGGTCATGATTCTTTTTCCAGCACAAAGGTCAAGTAGGCTATGCTGACTATCTCTTTCTCTCTTTTTGTTTTGCTTCACTTGCACTAAATACCATAACTTCTAAAACATGACGGAGTGTGGAAGCAAACACTCATGATGAATGCAGAGGATGATTTGCCTTTAAGAAGCTTCGTTCTTGGTATCGAGCTTTGGTTCCTGGCACTTTTGTTGTTCAGGAGATGAAACCGCCGCCTTTCTGAGCCAGCTCAGCCAGCTCCATGAATCACACCTCTTGCTCGCTCTTCCTATCGCTCTTTCGCGAGCTCCATTGTTGAAGCAGGAAGTAGGTGAACTCTATCCAGAGTGAAGTTCCAGCTTCCTTAAACCTCAAACAACAGGGGAGCAAAGTTCAGAACACCGTACAAATCTCTGTACCACAGAAATACCAAGAACTGAAGCACTCCTGTGTTCAATTGGAGTCTTGCGTGCGCAGCAGGAGGAGTCAAAAAAGGATCGTCAGACCTGCTCATGCATGATGCTTCTTTTCGTTTCCTGTGTAGGTGGGAGACAGTCGGTTGCCCGCTTCGGCTTTCAACAGTTCAGGGCTCTCAGCAGTTTTTACTTTTTTTCACTCTTAGCTTGCAAGCTTCTTTTTGTGCAAGGATATGTCACGCCTCATGTCACGCATTCCGACTCTTAGTCACCTCTCATCGTCGCTGCAAGAGCCAATTGAATGGAGCCATGTAATGTCTCTCAGTGGTGACGAAAGTCCTGCTGCAGGCACGTCCTGTGGACCTAGCTGAGAGGAACACAGCGAATAAAGGATCTTTCTTCCTACAGACGTATCCGCAGCCGTTCTTGTCCCCAAGTGTTCGAAGCAGCCTGCTCCTCCACCACATTTAATTTGTCATGGCCATGGTCACAAGAGCACTGCGAAAGGTCCACCGGAGCAGACTCCTGGTCTCATGTTTTTTCTACTGCATATATGGTTGCTTTTGTGCAACAACGGCCCTAGTTCCTGAGTCAACGGCAGTACCTTTACTTCGTCGGATTTTGGCATCCCACAATGAACCGTCTGACCAGAAGGGTCACGCTGAGGCTAGGCTTTTTCTAGCAGAAGCCATTCGCTGCATTTCCAATGGGTTGGTTTCTGTGGACGGAGTCCCTTGCACAGATCCACTGTCTTTGGTCTCAGCCTCCAACTATGTTGTGATGCGCGATGCTGCAGGAGTCAACCGGTTGATGCCACCACACCTTGATTGGTACTTGAAGTTTTACAAGCCTCGCGGTGTCATTTCGGCCCAACGCCCAGACAAATTCAGCCGAAAACCCACGACGGCTGATTTCTTTCCTTTGGGAGCGCCAAGCTCCCTCCACCATGCAGGCCGGTTGGATGGAGACAGTGAAGGTATTTTGCTGCTAACAACAGATGGCCACTTTTCGCACTTTGTGACTTCTCCAGGAAAGGGCTTTGAGAAGGAGTACATCGCATTGACCAACTGTGCCAAAAATAGACAGCCGCCCTCAAAGGAGTGTTTGAACTCCCTGGTTGAAGGTATTGTGTTGTCGGACGGGCATGTGGCAAGGGCGAAGTGCGCTGAAGTCACTGACTTTGACGGTCGCTTTGCCCGTTTGCGCCTGGTGGTCACAGAGGGACGCTTCCGGATGGTACGGCGGATGATGCGTGGAGTGGGATACTGTTGTATGCAGCTTCTTCGCGTTCGAACCTGCGGCCTGGGTGATGCAGCTCTTCGACCTGCTTGTCTTCAAGAAGCAGCGAAAGAAGCCCTCGAAAAGCCGGAGCCACAAGTGAAGCCAGCCACGTTGGCGAAGAATTCGAAGCAACTCCATCCAGGAGAGTTTGCGCCTTTGGCGCCAGATGAAGTAGCCGGTATCTATGCAGGTGCTCTCTCCTCGCTAGAAAATACAGCATGCAACAAGAGCTTGAGTGGGAGCGGTGAAGGAGGGGGGTCTCACATTCTTCGCAGATTCCAATGTCTTCTATATGTGGAGTATGCCCCATCCCTTCAGCCCGGGCTGATCTGGAATTCGTACCTATCTTTGGCGAAGCTCCATTTACCTCAAATGACCAATGTATTCCAATATTTGGAATATCTCCAAATCCTTGCAAGATCCCTGGTGAGTGACTAGTCCCTTCGAGAAAGCTGACAAGACCGGTTGTGGCCGCTTGGTCTCAACCACTGTGGAGCAGGGTTCAAGCACAGACACGGGGCCCAGGCCTATTCCACGAATCAAAAGGATCATTAAGTCTTACATTAGGATCATTGATCAAGGTGGATGTTTTAGGGGACTGAAGACATCATTCGTCATATCCCTGACAGTCACGACAGGGAGAGTGTCAGGGTCGCATTTCGGGTTTTTCTTGCCCAAATCTCTACTGCTCCGGTTTTCCCTGACATTCAGGTGTGTCGGCAGAGGTGCAAAAGCCGAGGTGGAGAGACACTCCGCACTTTTCCAACAACGGGAATCAAGTTGGAAAAGGGTCAAGAGCTCAAACTCATCAATCTAGCTGCAGGTTTTCCTTTTCACCAGGCCCCAGATTCGGTTTGGAGGCTGGTCAAGCTTGCACATGATGACCATTCTCAGATGCTGTGAGAATTTTCAGACGCACTGTTGCAGGCAAGACGTCCTTTCAAGCAATCCAAGGGCAAAGAGTCCTTACCTCTCCAGCCGTGAGGGATGTTCCTCTTTAGAATCTCGAGCGCTGAAGGTTCAATGACATCATTCTGAATGCAGGGCAGGATGGCGAGGCCAGCAACACGGGCTCAAGAAATCATTCAGCAGCCTTTCAAAAAACGGTGAAGAGAGGAACTCAGAGCCATGTATACAATCTCATGGAACCCATGAGCGCTTGGGAGGCCATTTTGGCCTTCGTCCATGGTCGGCTGCAAGAGCCGTGGCCTCATCCGACTTTTCGCTGAACGGTGCAGTGAACGTTCTCTTGACTCGAGGGCGGGGTTGGCTGTGAAGACTGGGGGCCTTGTTAAAAGGATCCCTAGGCCCTTCCGTCACTTTATATATATATATATAGTCTCTTTGACTTTTCTCTTTGCTGCTATCCGAAAAAAACTTATTTTGTCATTATTGTTTTTCTCGCTTTTCGCTGCTTCGATTCCTCTCTTTGGAGCTCTTGGACTTAGATTAAGCGTGGTGAACGCCACCACTGCGGTCCACCGCTTGGCCAAATGTCAAGCCGGACTAGCCACGGCTGCGACCACTTCACACGACCCGCGGCTGCGTTTGCTCCTCGAGCCTTGGCGTGGGTTCAATGGAGGAAGATGAAGACGAAGAAGAAGGGTGCTTTCGAAGAAACTATGTGAAAAAAGTCACCATGCTTTTGTGCAGATTTGGCTACTTAGGACAGGGTGGGTGAAATGTTCAGGCGGGGATGTGGCCCAAAGTGCCGGGTTGCAAGAGCCCTTGACTACTTTGTCAGGGCAGCCTCTTCAGAGAATGATCAGAATGAGTCGTGTGCTTGAGAAATGCCAGCCCAGATTTTCATTGGTTGCCACTTTTGATGTAGGTCACAAGTTCTGAGGTGGCAGTTCCATGTGGACCCGAGAGCTCTTACAAACGTTGCATGGGCGCAGGCAGCGATTTGCCGAGAGCCAGACTCCGTGCTCATGTGATTTGCTTTGGGGAGATGTATGGTTTTGTGCTGGGAGGCAAAAATGTTGATGAGGGATGCCCAACTCCTCGGCCATATTTCCACAGAGGCAGGGCGGGCAGGGCGGACAGCACAGGCAGATCGGGCAGGGCCGCCGTTTGTGTCGCCCTAGTTTCGTCGGACTTCAGCCTTCCTCTTTCGCCTGCACTTGACAGGTCCGGCAACGGGTGTCTGAATGTTCAGCCCAGCAGGTGGTCGGAGACTTTCTGATTTTTTTAAAATGAATCAGATGCGTATTCATGGCAATGATTGTATATATTTGCACTGAGGCATCTCCAGTTCTATTTTGTTACTTTTGCTGATATAGTGTCAGTGTCTACTTTTTATGCATGGACACATGCCTTGGGCATTTGGCTCAAACGCTATTGCCCGTCGAAGCCATTTGTGGTTTTCGCTGACGTAGCGCAAAAAGCCATGCGCGGACAAGATTAGCCATGAGTGCGATGGTGCTTGATTTGAAGGCTGCTTGGCAAAAGATTCTCGCATGTCAGATGGTTGGCTTGACATGCTGGACTGAGGCTTTGGCTTTACACAACTGTGACCTGGATGAAGTCTTAGCAAAAATGAAATCTGCCATGAGACGTTGCTCACTCATTGCACACTCGTTCCACATTCGTTTTACACTTGTCGTGCGACCCTTTGCAGAGGTCTTCAGCAACTCGGTCGGCAAGCCTCTCCTGCTCCCGAAGCCAACGTCCGAAGTTCGTGCATAAAATTGCTGACAGAGACACTTCACAAAGTGGATCCCACTTGGGTGGTGAAGCCCTTTGGCAGCAGTGCTAATGGCTTCAGCAGCAAGGAGCTGGGCGGATACGTGGCTTGGGAGCTAGAGTCCGAGATCCATAGAGCTGCATAGATGCACAACAACTGTGCAAAGGTTGAACAAAATCATAGTGGTAATTGTGCGTAACAGGTATATAGTTATACTGTTATAGATTGCTCCTTGCACTCTGATTCGAGTCGCTACCGATGCAGGAACATGCACACACACAATGTGATGATGCACACGTGCCGGCAAAATCAGGACCAGTGACCGTGACCTGTTGTTCGGCGGATGTGAAAAGTGCACGGGGAGGCTCTTGACTTCCGACTTCCCCGAGCGATCGGATTTCGATCCAGTTGGCGCTCTCAAGCTCTGGTGACGGCCTTGGAGAGGGCCATGTTGTGGGAAGTGGACCCGGATTCTCTTCGAATCATCCCTTTCCATGACCTCCATGCTCACCAACCCGGTGTAACCAACCTTGGAGAGCAGGCAGCTCTTTCGTTTGCGCCATGAAGGCGGTTTAACGATTGTCCAAGCGGGCGCTGGGCAAAAGAGATGAGTCGAACAACAAGGTCCAAGTGCAACAGCTTTCTTCACATAAGCAAGCCTCCATATCGATGGGAAAGGAAGGTCAGGATGCCGAATTGGCGGTGTCGCGTATGCCGAAGGAAGCGGCCCTGAAAAGCAGCGTTTGCCACAACAGGCCATTCCCAATGGCATCTTAGAGCATTTCCTGCTTGAGATCTCTGACTCTCAAAAAGTAGATGTGTATATAGTTGATACACTTTGCATATGAATGTGGGATTCCGTGGGATATGGCAGGACTCAGACCTAGACTTGACCTGCGTCATCCCAAACGTCGCCGTTGCAGCAGCGTTGGAGATCTTTGCAGAAAAGCGCCAGGTGGTATTGAGTACCTTAGAAGCCGCCGGTATTGAAGTTTTTCAAGAGATATGGACTGCCAGAGTGCCTGTGGTCAAGATGAAGTTTGCTGGTTTCTTGGAGGCGGGCCTTTTGCTTTTCCCATTGCCTTCAAATCTTGATATTGCATCAGTTTCCTTTGAGAGTTGCTTTCTGTGCCCTTGCCAAACTTTCGTAGTCTGCAACCCCTTCCATTGCCAATTACAAGTGCTGCTTCGGACAAGGGAGGGGGATGTTTCGGAAACTCATTCACAAATTCATTTGGATGTCCGACATGTTGATCGGGGGAACTCAACAAGCTAGCAGAAAAATTGATCACCAATGACCATTTTCTTGGTTTGTTGCAATCCTTGGCGAACCCAAAATAAGATGCTCGAGCCGAAACAATGGGCACTTTCCAAGACCGACATGAGGTGGACCTCACGTTTCAGAACAATGCTGCCTTGGTGAACACGGAGCTGCTCAAAGCATACTCCAACATGTGTCCCCAGCTCCGCGAACTTGGCATAGCTGTCAAGCGCTGGGCAAAGGCAGCCGCTGGGCGACAGGAATAAAGGGCCCTGTGACCGGATCATCAGGGCGCAACAGTTTTTTGAAGAGCTTGTTACATCTTCTTACTTGTTACATCTTTTGACCTCAAACACGACCGGTTGCGGAACCGTACAAGTCCAAGCTGGTAACTTGTTGGAAGGAATGGGCGGATCCTCCCAGTACTTTCGTGCATGTTCAGGCACAGCTTGAACATCACGACTCAATATATATATATTGTGAAACGAAAGACAGTTGACCCCATGTCACTTGCCGGCCGGTCGAAACCTTACGTTTCCGCAACTTGCGGCCCAATGAGGGGCCCTTTGAGCCTTGCGTGAAAAGGCTTGTTTCCGCTGCGCGCTTCGAGCGTTTTGCATGGTAGCGGAGCCCCGGTGACGACCGGGGCTCCCGCGACGTGGTCTGCGGCAGCTGGGGGACGCCCCAGCACCAAGGACCTGGCCTGACGGCCGCTTACTTACTCTTTGTACGGACCACGTCCGGGAGCTACATCATTGAGCCCAACGAGATTTTCCTTTTTGAGTTCTTCGATTACCAGTTTGACGCTGGGACTTTGTTTAAGTTTTCCTGAGCATGAGCGGACGTGGAAACCAGCAGAGAACATGGCGAGGTGGAGTTGGTGCAACATCATCTCAACCGGCTACGGCATCCCCCTCGGCTTCACAGAGGGTATCAGCGCCAACACCACCACCTATGGCCTCGCCTAAGGCAATGGCTACGCCAGTGACTTCGCCTGTTCTATCTCAGGGACCCCTTCACCATTCTGCCGAACTTCCTGGCCGTGTTCCTGACCCTCTTCAAGGGCATGATCCATGGTTGGAGGCCCAGGATGTTCGAGCACCAGCCACGCCGACTGGAGGCTCCCCCAAGAAGTATGTCGACTACCGACTGGACCCAGCACCATCATGGGGAGGAGAAAATCCGGAGAAACAGTATCGTGAATTTCACCGGAATCTTCAGCTGTGGCTCATCGAGGCAGAAGCCAGACTGCCTCTCAATTTGATTGGGAAGCGCATGATCGACAGCATCCCGATCGGCAGCAAACTCGGAGCATCTCTGGCACACCTCACTGTGGACGAGATCTGCAGCGATAATGGACACAAGATGATCTTGAAGATCATTGAAGATGCTCACGAGTACCTGAGAGATCAGCGATTGGAGGCCGCCTTTGACGATGCGATCTTCCGTGGACGAAGAGAGCGTGGACAATCGCTCACGGCATTCCTCACCAACAAGAAGGCCGCCTTCGCTGAGTTGAAGAAGCAAGGTTTGGATCTGCTCAGCACCACTGCTGGCAGGCATTTGCTTGGGCACCTGATTTTGAGACAAGGTGCATTCACCCAGGATCAACGACAGAGATTGAAGGTCGTGACCGATGGCAGCATCGACTACAAGGAGATCGAGAAAGCTGTACAGAAGATCTTTGGCGACAGGTTGGATGAGTCTCATCAACATGATGGACCTCACACACCACGACGGTGGCGCAGCAACACCTTCTGGGAAGAAGATGATGATGATGGCATGGAGGATGACGACTATGCCACCTATGCCATGGAGGTTGATGACGATGGAGTCTTAGGTGACTTCGTCTGTCTGGATGATAACAATGAGGCCCAGATGATCTTTGCTGAAGAGCTGCCGGTGGTCATGGAAGAGGTTGAGGCCATTGAGACCATGTCCAACCAGATCGAGGAGATCTTCTTTGAGACCCAGCACCGCCTTCATGGAAAAGGCAAGGGCAAAGGCAAGAAAGGAAAAGGCAAGAGCAAGACCTTCATGAACCACCCTGGACATGGCAAAGGTGGTTACCTTGAGCACCGCAAGATGCTGCAAGCTGTTCGCAACGGTCGAGGCTATGATCGGCCGACGACACCATGGATGCAGCGCCAGGGATCTCGCCTGTCGCTGAATGAGCTGAAAGCCAAGAGCCGATGTCACCAATGCCGACAAGTGGGTCATTGGTCCAAAGAATGTCCTCACCGCAACAAGCCCTCATCTCCACCACCGAGATCGAGCGCTGGTTTCTTTGTAGAACCACCGAAACTGGTGGGAGCTGGAAACTTTTACGAATCCTCCGAGCCGGTGGAATACGTGTGCAGCGCTATGGATGGTGGGAAGGGATTCATGGGGCTTTCCTTTGTGTTTTTAGGTGTCAACAAGACTGAAGGTACAGCTTTGGTGGACACCGCTGCACAGCATGGTTTGGTTGGCATGGACACCCTCAAGAACCACGATCGTCTACTACAAGATCAATATGGGTTACGTGTGCAGTGGTCCACTGAAGCTGGGGGCACGGTCAGAGGTGTTTGCGGGACGGAGGAGATGACCCACATTGCATATGTCCCCATTGGTTTGGCTGGATGTTCAGGTGTTCTTCGGTGCCAAGTTGTTCCAGGGGACATCCCATTCTTGTTGCCCGCCTACTTTTTGAGTGATTTGGGCGCAGTCATCGACATGAAAAACTTTGAGATTTTGTACATGTCCATTGGTTGCAAGCAGCGCATGCATCGTTTGAGCACCGGCCACGTCGCAGTGTCGATCGTCGAGTTTGGAAAGGGCTACAGCATTCCCACTGATTTCTCCAACCGCCGCAGCACAGCATGGACTCGAGACCCTATGCCCTGGGCTGACGATCCTCATCCGCTCGGTCGTAATGTACCAGCGATGGGTCGCGCGCTGGCGACGTTTGTTGCTGCGGCTTTGCACCTGGGATTTCTTGGGTGTTTGGCAGACGCTGCTCCAGGTGGTCCGTGCTCCACAACTTCGAGAAGCCCGTCGCATCCAGCTCCGTCGAGAGCGCTTGGAACAGGAAGCTTTGCGGCTAGCTCAGCAGGAGCAGAAGATTGTGGCCCAAGCTTCGACGATGGCATCTTCATCCAATGCAGATCAACGAGTTCACCGCCATCGAGAAGAGGAGCGAGTTCGACCACGTGCCATGGTCAAGGGCAAGGGACAGTACCTGGTCCCAGAACTGGAGATGTCACCGGACTGCCAACATTCCGTGACCAAGCATGGCGCCAATCGCACGCAGACCTGGCAGATGTGCACCACATGCGGTCAGAAGCAGGAGATGCCTCTCACTCCGTTGACCGAGCTGCACAAGTGGAACGACACCCTGATCTACGCGCCGGACCCCTTCTACGACAAGCTCAAGAAGAAGAAGAACAAGATGAGCGGAAAGGAAGAAGAGTCCGTTTCAAGTGCGAGCCAGATTCCAAGTCCATCGACGACAACGCCAGTTGCCACTGGAGCTCGCCCCAAGTTCAAAGCAGCACCTGCTCTACTCCAGCAAGCACAACGCATGACAGCTGCCAAGACTCCACCTATGAAGAAGGAGATGAAGTCAGAAGTCAAAGACGAGGTGGAGGAGGTCGCTCCGACACGACGTCGTCGACCCTATACCGAGGACAGCTGGTGCGATGTGGTCGCCAACGACATCCTCGAGCAGGCCCAGACTGTGTACATCGGGGACGAGACGATGGACATGGAGGGGGTGATTGGACCGGCTCATTCGCAGCCATGCCAGGACTGCGGACAGGGAGAAGTTGTTCTGCACCGCCATCTACCAGACATGAAGCTGTTCTGGAAGTGCGACAACCAGAGGTGCCAGATGGCTCAGCATCCGGAGATGAATGGGCAGATTCAAGTGGCATACGGAGTTCAACTATGCCCGAGGTGTCATCGCAACGAGCTCCTCCAGATCAACGACGCCCAGAATCCGGAGGACATCGAACTACAGTGCACACACGATCCCTGCAGCCTCCAGATCTACTTCTTCGAGCTGGACCACGCCTACGAGCAGATGGGCAGGATGTTCAATGTCCGGCGGATCTAGCCATCGATGGATGGCTGAGCACAGTGCTCATGGAATCGGAGCCGGAAGAAGGCCTCGTGACGATCATCGACGCCCTGAAGATTGACCCACAATGCACCTATGTAGCCACCGGATGTGGCGAGTCAGTTCCTGGAGTACATGTGGTGGCAACTTGGCCAATCCTTAGCCGCAGAGTCATTCTGACTCGAAACGGCGATGCTGACTGGAGTGCGGTTCACTGCACGACCACGCCAAGTAGCACATATGTCTTCGGGGGCGATCCAATTCACTACACCGTGCTCTATGAGTTCATGCCTGAGTTCCTCGATTACATGAAGGAAACGGCCTTTGAAAATGAGCTCACCCTCACCAAAACGATGAAGACAGAGATCAATCAGAGCTTGGACAGCCTGATTGGTGAGCAGACGGTGTTTTGGCAACTGTGGGACACGTCTGATGAGCGTGATGACGTTGCGGAGGTCTACGGCACCCTCAATGAAGAGCACGACATGATTGCCGAGATCTACAGCCCTCCGAGGATTGTCAAAGCAGCACGAGCCAGAGGTCTGAAAGCCGAGCTTTCTGTGGACGTGTTGACTGGCAACGACCTCAACCAGAGCGAGGAGAAGGCTCGCGTGAGAGAAGAGTTGAAGAAAAGGAGACCACGCCTCCTGATCACTTCACCGCCGTGCAAGATGTTCTCCATCTTCCAGAACCTACGGAAGGACTATGGAGAGAAATGGGAGCATGAAATGCTGGAAGCCATCAGCCACGTGGACTACTCCATGCAGCTCCAAGAGGACCAGCGACAAAGAGGAGACCTGGGACTCCATGAACACCCGGACACTGCCAAGTCCTGGGAACTGCCTTCTGTCAAAGAGTACCTCAGTCATGACGAAGTGGTGCTCGTTAAGGCAGATCAATGTCGCTTTGGCCTGAAAATTGATGGTGGCTCGAAGCTCAGTCGAAAGTCCACTCTCTTTGCCACCTCATCTGACCATGTGGCAGTGAACCTTCAACGACTATGCCAATGCCCTGGACCACAACCACATGATCAACTGGTCAATGGCAAGCCACTGCAAGCTCAAGAGTACCCACCGCTCCTGGTGAAAGCAGTCATTGATGGCATCATTCAGGAATGGGTGGATGAACAACATGGACAACCAGATCGACTACCCGAGCTGGCTGATCTTGAGCAGTGGATTGATGAGTGCCATCCACGTGAACCTTTCCGGTGGAGGAATTTTCATGGGAGTGCAATTTTTGTTGCCAAGAAGCCGAGCACTTATCCAGCCCGTGGACCAGGACATCGTGACCTTCGCTGGACATGGGTGAAGAATGTTTGGGATGGCAAGTGGCTTCGACTGGAGCAGGCAAAGAGTGGTCGTGTCCCTAAGTTTGAAGTCAACTATTTTGGAGAGCTCAACAACGTGATGGCCGCCACGACTGGAGTGACCACCGCAGAGAAAGCTATGGTGCTTCGTGCGCACATCAACCTTGGTCACCCGACCGTGAAGGAATTCAGCCGCTTGCTCAAAGCAGCTGGAACCAGAGAGGACATCATCCAATATGTTCTCCGAGAGTTTCAATGTGAAGGTTGTTTGAAGGAGAGGCGACAGCCTACTCGCTTGCCTGCAGCCACACCCAGGACATACGACTTCAATGTGGTGATCGGTGTGGACCTAATCTTCCTCTACGGCGAGAACAACCGTGATGAGCTGCCAGTGCTTAACTGCACTTGTTTTGGAACTCTCTACAGCACATTCACCTTGGTGCATCCCAATCGACGAGGCTCACAACTGGTTTGGGCAGCCTTCGCACAAGCATGGCTGAGAGTGTTTGGTGCCCCGTCATTCATCATCATGGACCAAGGATTGGAGTTCATGGGCAGCTTCCTCGACGGTGTGGAGAACCATGCGATCAGACCATTGTGGATTGATCGAGATGCCCCATGGCAAAATGGCATCACAGAACGAAGAGGAGGATTGTTCAAGGAGGTCTACTACAAGACCAGGGAACTGAGGCATCCCACCGACATTGATGAGGTCAAGACACTCATACATGAAGTGTCATGGGCTCTGCAAACTATGACCAATCGGTCTGGATACTCACCAGCCCAACGAGTACTTGGACGGCAACCATCTCTCAATGCCGACGGCCTCACGGACACCGCTGAGTATGAGTACTCCAAAACTGGTGATTCCGCTTGGGCAAAAGCTGAGGAAATCAGACAAGCAGCCAGACGAGCACTCATGGAGGTGGACAGCCGTGAACGACTCCAACGTGCTGTTCGAGCCCGACCACGACAAGCCCGAGAACAACATGTTTTCGAAGAAGGCGAACCTGTCAGTGTTTGGAGGATTGGTCGCCGGGGCTTTCAAGCAAAAGTTGGACCATGCTTTGTGGTGCTACAAAGAGGCGACACCATTTGGGTGACCCGCCGTGGTGAGCTGTGGCGCTGCAATCGCGCTCAGGTGTTTCCCATGGGAGCATTGGAGAAGCAGGGACTTGAAGTCATTCCTCTCGAACTCCTACGTGCCAAGGAGAAGCTACGGTTCCAGACTGAGAAGCTTGGCTATGTTGATGTGGAGCAGGAGGGACCACCCCAGGAACAACCAGATGTTGTTCCTATTCGAGATGAACCTGATCAAGCACCTGCTGAACCTGAAGTTCTTCGTCGACTGCCAGGAACACCAATGCCGAGGACACCAGCAAGGTCCAAGGCAGCGCCAGCTACACCTGCACCACAAACGCCTGGCACACCAGCACCCCAAACTCCGGCACCAACGGCAACAGCCGAGGCATCCAGGCCCGAACCAACCAGGGCCAGATCCAGAACACCGCCTCCACAACCGGCCAAACAAGGCCAGAAGATGACAGAAGCTGATGAGCTGTGGAAAGCAACACTGGAGAACCAAGAATCCAAGGCTTCAAGCAGCACAACAGCAAGCAAAGACACAGCACCACTGAGGATGTGGACCCGCTATGACATGGATGCCAAAAGATTCCGTGCATCCAACTCCAAAGGACCCCTTTGGAGCGATGTGATCAAGCGCATCACCATTGACCTGGTCACCAACAAGACCATCCTGGAAGAAGACATCTATCCGGGAATGGCTGTGCATCAGATTCATGCACGACTGCCGACGGAGTCCAAGGACATCGAGACAGTCCTCATCTACCGACAGGTGCCAGATCATCCAGATCCAGGTGTACCATTTGAACCACCAACAACCAGCACTGCAACTGAAGAAGATCGCAAGAAGACACCAGAAGAAGATGCACGCCTGGTGGACAAGCACCTGAAGAGGTCATTGGATGATCCCACGACAAATGATCGAGTGGCCAACCGTTCCCGTGTCTTTGGAACTTGGCAGGCAGACCGCCTGACTGAATGGGGTGACAAGAAGAATTTTCCGGTGATGGCCAATGTCAGAGATGTCAAGGGCATCCCCTATCTCGAGAACTCCGACTCCTACTTCAACCTGAAGACCATGGAGGATGAGTTCCCTTTGCATTACCTCACCAAGCAAAGTGGCAAGGAGCTTAATGAAAAGAAGCTGACTCCAGAAGAGATCAAGCTCTTCAATGAGGCCAAGAAGACCGAGATTGGCAACCTGGTCGGCTCCAATGCCATTGAACTGGTAATTGATGAAGGTGAACTTCAAGCCATCCGGGACAAGTACAGTCACCGCATCATGCCAAGTCGCTTCCTCATCACGAAGAAGATGGGTGAGATTGGTGAACAATGGAAAGCAAAAGCCAGGTGGATTTTGCTTGGGCACAAGGACCCCGACAGTCTGCAGCTTGAACGTTTTGCACCAACTCCCTCGTCCACGACGGTCATGCTGACCCTGCAGATCATTGCATCACACCACTACCACCTGTACATCATGGATGTCTCCAGTGCATTTGGTCAGTCCGACCACTGTGAACGAGAGCAGGGACCACTTTGGGCAAGCATGCCACCAACCGGGATTCCTGATGTCCCAAAGAATGCCCTCATCCGAGTCAAGACTGCTGTCTATGGCTTGGTCAACGCCCCAGCTGTCTGGCGAAAGACAGTTCGAAGGCACCTGCTGGAGTTGGGCTACAGCGAAAGCGCTCTGGACCCATGCCTCTACCACCTGCCGGCCATCGATGACGAGCGGGAGTATGGCAACCAGTTCTACACCGCTGGAATTGTCCTGTTGGACGTTGATGACTTCTGCCAAGGAGGCAATGCAAGACATGAAAGCCTCATGGCAAACCTCCGCACCAAGCTCAAGTTCGGCAAGTGGAAAGATGTTTACCAAGGCTCAGCTGAGTACATTGGACGCACTTTGACTCAGCTGGCTGACTATGAGGTCCAGGTGAGTATGAAGCGCTACATCCAGGAGAAGCTGAAGCCAGTGACTCTGCCAAAGGAGCGAATGAAGCAGCGGGATTCCCCGCTGGATGAGAAGGAGACCACACTGCTTCGAGGTGTGGGCGGCTCACTGCTGTGGGTCGGAAAAGAAGGAAGGCCTGATGTTGGAGCCTGCGCCATGGCGATGAGTTGGTCTTCGGCAGGCCCTACGATCGAGCGCATCCACATGGCCAACAAGACGGTCAATGAGTTGAAGATGACCATGGAGGTCTACTTGCGGGTTCTTCCAATCCCCGCCAACCAGGCCATCTGGATGAGTGTGGCCGACGCTTCAATGGCCAATGTGGAACAGAAGTCCCAAGGAGGATTTGTGCTAGCGCTGGCTCATGAGAGCATCATGGCTGGAGCTCAAGCCGCCTTCAGCATCAACAGCTGGAGGTCACACAAGTTGAAGCGAGTGGTGAAAGCCACTTTGGGCTCAGAGGCGCTGGCGATGGACGACGCCCTGGGCGAGATCGAATGGATTCGAGCTCTATGGCATGAAGTCCTGGACAAGGAGAGCAGCTTGATGGACGGCACGAGGCTTGGCGACCGTGAATCGGTCCTGGTGGTGAGAGCGCCTGATGGAGAGCGCGAGGAGGTGGCAGAGCTGATGGTCAAAGACCAGATGACGGGCGCCCACGTCACCGACGCCAAGGCCTTGTTTGACCTTCTGAGCCGGCGTAGTGGCAACGCCGGACAAGATCGGCGAGCGCAGATCGATGTCTGCGTGATTTGTGTGTCAGCAAAGGCACTTAGGGTTAAGACCTTTTGGGTCCCTGGCAGCGAAATGCTGGCGGATCCGCTGACGAAGCGCTGCGGCAATAGTGCCCTCATGCGCAAAGTCATGAAGGAGGCAAAATATAGCCTCATGAAGTCGACACCGGCAAGCGACACGGAAGCACCACCCCAGGAATGTGAAACGAAAGACAGTTGACCCCATGTCACTTGCCGGCCGGTCGAAACCTTACGTTTCCGCAACTTGCGGCCCAATGAGGGGCCCTTTGAGCCTTGCGTGAAAAGGCTTGTTTCCGCTGCGCGCTTCGAGCGTTTTGCATATATATATATATATACTTACTTGCGGGCGAAAGGCGCAGCAAAAATTTGTGAAACCTCAAACGCACGCCAATACCGAAAGAGAATAAGCTGGCACCTGGAAAAAGAGCCTGTCACATGAATGATATTTACCAAGCAAGATCTAGACATCTTCAGAATATTTAGAGTCAAATTGGGTCACTGAGGTCACTCAATGTAATGTTATTTTATTCGTTTTCACTTAGGCTGGTGTGTGTGGTGCACCTCAAGGGCACCTCTCTTCGTATTCATTTACCCTCATGGCGATCTACTTCATGCAGACCTGCCATGGGTTGCCATGCTTGCCAACAGATGCATTCTCTGAGGATGGCCCAGTCAGAGCCTCAGAGTCAGAGTCTGTTTTCCAGACTTCGAGCTTTTGAATCCGAGCCGTTCCGGAAGCCACAAGCGGCGTGTTCCGGAAGCCACTGCTCCGAAGGAGTCTGATGCAGTTGACAGGTGACATCTGACATCGTCCGTCATCCTGCGCTCGCTCAGGCGCCCAATGTTCGCAATTGGCGTTGGGAGAGCCCTTTGCCCGTGCCAGCCCTGCTGATGCAGTTTTGCTTATTCTATCACCACGAGTTCCAGTGGGGCACTGAAGTGGTGTCGCCACGTATGGGATGCCGGATGACGATTCGTGAGCAATGTTTCTCCTGGCTCGAGACTTGGGGTGAATCACGGCTACATATTGAAGATCCCTTCATCCTGGAGAGAAATTTGAACTGCGTTCTAGGCTCATGGCAAGAAGGTTCGGCATGCGCGAGATGAAGCAAAGGTCCAAACAAGTCAAGTGCATTTTGTTTTTGTCTTCGGTCGGTTCGACGGTTTGATCCGGTAAGAAGCTTTCCTGTACACCCCTTCGACTCGAGCCAGCGCCAGGCAGGCTGAGAGAGGTGCTCCAGGAGAGCGCCTTAGCCATGATTTCTGGCAAGCTACCGAGGCCGAACGAACCGACCCGTCTCAGGCCGTCGGAGGCGGCTGGTGGCCGCTGATTTCTTGGATGGTTATTTCTTAGGGATTGCAAGAAGTGGTTGCTCACTGAATTCTGGGATTCTTACTGACCGTTTTTTGTGATTGGAGATGTGTTTTTTTGTTGTTTTCACCAGTTGATGTTGGAAAGCAGGTGCTTGGACAGCACAGCCAACGCAGAGGAGATCTGCACTGTCCTTTGCTGACTGTGAAGATTGGCTTTTGTATTTGTGTCTAGAGATTTTGATTGCTCCACTGAATAAGCCTATTTGAAGTTGGGGATTGTCGACGGTAGCGTTGAGTCACACCGTGGGGACGCATGTGAGAGGACACTGCCAGTACAGAAACTCCAGCATCTGGAGTTGCCGACAAGACCCCTGCCTTATCGTCCGATGCTGAAGACCTTCAAAAGCCTCCGGTGAAGGCACAGAGTGTTGTCAATTTTCATTTGCTGACCGCAGCTTGGGATGCTCAGGGCTGTGTGGAACATTTTACTGCACTTGGGGCAATTCTCTCTCTGAAAGTGTATATGTATATATATATATGTATATATTTGTGGAGATGACTGTTCTGCCTGTTGCCAAGTTGGTAGATTGGTAACTTAAGATGGACACACACACACATATATATATATAAATATATCACGAAACCACCCGAGTCGAGTCCTATCGACACCCACGGGCACGCGTGGCATTTTCCTCAGCCAAATGCGGTCCCTGCGGTACGAACGGCGCGTGAGTGGAGGCATTCACGCTAGCCTTCAGCACTCCTAATGGTCTCTTCTATCCTTAGCTTTCTGAAGTGTTGGGCGAACTTTCCAACATGATCGGACCTCACAGGCACGTTCGAGGCTTTTGCCTCATCACTTGAAGACCCGGCGGGATCTGGAGCCAGGAATCAACTCTCCCGTACGCAGCTTGCCACGGGATGCCTCTAGCTCAAAGCGGTAGAGAAAGACGCACAAATCCTTGAGCTCACCGCCTGCCGAGTTGGTGCGAGCTCGGCGCCACTTCACATAGCTCTTGGCTTCATCTTCCTCAGATTGCAAAAAGGTCCATGTAAGACCAATTGCGGGACTTGAGCTTGCCGAAGTTGATCTGAGTCTTTCCCCACTGAGCGGTGTTGATCACACCAGGAGGGAGCTCAGGCGAATCCAAGGCTGTCGAGCCGGAATCTGTGGCAGGAAACGGCGGTGCCAAAGACTTCGCAGCATATCCCTCTTCGGGGATCTTGGAGCCAACTCCTTCAGGTGAGGAGATGTGCTTTCGATTGGCCTTGCTGTTGATCGGACACTGTGCGTCCATCTGGCGCTTCGTGGCATCAGACATGGCTCCGACCACTTCAAAGTCGTCCACGTGTGGGAACCCACCAAGTGCCTCAACGGGCTCCAGACCATGGCGCAGGGCCTTCTGGTACAAGGCGCGGAGTTGGTCGGCATCCTGAGGTGTCCAAGTCATTTGGTCACACGGCGCGAGATCTAAGCAAGTGAACTTTCGGAAAATCAAAAGGGCTGCAGGTGGCAAAAACATTAACGCTTCACAACATGCATAAAAAGGATTCGCAAAAACACTCTCACGAAGAGTGGCTATTGAATGTATTCCTCACTGATTGCCAGACACACATTACAACAAGACTGTTACTCCCTTGAGAGGCTGCAACTATCTTAATTATTATTGGTGTCCAAAAGCTCCTTGGGATGCGTTTTCACCTTGGTGGAAAGGCTGCGTCTCTGCGTCCGAAGCTCCCTTTCGGCAGCTTGCTGAGCTAGGACATGCTCCTCGGGTGAGATCTGATACGTGGCACTACGTAAACAAGAATGAAGGAGGTCAACTGGGTCCACCTTGTCTTTTGTGAGGGTGTCTGCCAACATACGATTGGTGGGAAGCCAACGAATTGAAGCTCTGGTGGCTTTGATGGACTCTCGAATGATCACAATGTCTATGCTTGTTCGTCGATCATCCTGCTGTGGGGATGATGGAGATGTCAAGTGATCATACAAGGACTTACAGTCGGTGGTGAGTATCGGAGATCTAGCACATGCGTCGAACGGCATTGTTTACCTCTCTGAGATGTTTGATCTTACCAGTTTGAAACTTCTGATTATGCCAAGGGACATGAGGTCGGATGTGTGTCTTACACAGCTCACATTCATACTTACGAGCCAATGCAATGGGTCGATCACTGGCATGTCCATGTTTGAGAACACGGACTAGATCATGACCTGGAGGGTGTCCCAAGTTATGATGCAAACGATCCAACACTTGCAAGAGCTGGTCATCCGTGACCTGTGGATTATCTAGGTCAGCCTTGGCCATCAGTACCTCTTCAGACGTCGGCTCTGGTTCGCAGTTGACTAGGCTAGCAGCTGTTTCCTGACCAAACATGGGAACCGTATCCAAAACAGCTTGGACGAATTGAGGTGTATGCTGCTTGAGCCTACCCCGGGAGCTGACCCCGCAATCGGTTGATGACAGCAGTGATGTGCGTGTAGGCTACCTGGACAGGTCTTAGCTAAGCGCGACATGGATTCATGACTGACCAGCAAACGTGTTGCCTTGCGGATCAGCTTGTCAGAACCAGGAAGTCGAAGGCCGAAGCGGCGCGTATGACACTTCAAGAGGTGACAACGCTGAATCAGCTCTCTCATTTCCGGATAGTTCCACAGCCTGGAACCGAGTGGATGCTCCAGGAGGGCCTGTTTACCTGCCTTCAACTGTTGTTCAAAAAGCTGCGCGCAAAAACGAATGTACAACCGACTTTGAGCGATCCGACGAGTCAGTTCCATTGAATCCAGGTAAGCAGCATTCAGATTGAACCATCCCCCTTCATCAGTACAGGGAGGACACAAAATCAACAACTCAGGAGGGTGTTGCTTCAATTCTTGGGCTACTGCGTCCCTATCCTTCTTGAGGCGAAAATCAGATTCCACATGTGAAGCAAAACTGGGTGGTTTTCCCACCCAACTTGGAACAACCGGTGGTATCAGGTCCGAAATCTCGTACCTGTCGCTCAAGTTGTCTGAGATATGGACAGGCAGGGTCTCCTAGGCACGAAGAAAAATTCGGTTTGCGCATGCGTGACATGACTGGGCAACGTGCGAACATAACGTGACTTACCTAGTTGAGGCTGTATGTTATCATCGAACAGGACTGCGTTGGTGTCCAAATCGGTCACGACCCGGCGTCGGACAGATTGCCACGAAGGACCTTGTTTGCCTAGTGATGGCACTTGTTTGAGATAGCTATCATCACGACTCCAGGACATCAGGTCTGTCGGGCCTGCATCGGCTGTGGTGGCATCAGGTGTGGACACATGGCTTTCCGCAGGACGGTTCGAGATGCATCACCTCGGCAAATGGCTTCAGATTGACGTCGGGCTCACCCAGTAGGTCAACAGTGAATTGACCCGCCTGGTTGGTGCGCAAAGGAACCGTGATCCGCTCATCAAAAAGAGTGAGCTCACTGGCTGCAAAGTCTACCACTGCCTTCAATGTCTTGAGGGCATTCCGAGAAATGAGCAGTGGTGCACTTCCTTGCACGATAGCAGCTTTGATGGTACCTGAACGTCCTCCAAGTAGGACCGGCGCGCTGATGGACTGTGAGGTGGTCTCTTTCTGGCCGTTTCCAAATTTGAAATGATTCACTTCAGACACGGGGCTAGGAATCTTCCAGCCACGGCCATTCCAAAGCGCCTCAAAGTCACGAAGCGTTGAGGCACCAATGATGGATCGGCCGCAACCACTGTCCAACACACCGAAACCCGGTGAACTGACCAACAACTGCTCAATGCTCAATGTAGAGGAGGAGACAGGTTCAGATGTTACTGTCTTGTCCTCCTTCTTGTTGTGCAGGAGCTCCAGCGAACGCCAAGTCACACGATCAGGGGAGACCATGGCCGCTGGCCAAAAAATCTTCGACCAGAGCAGCTCCACTCTTGGAGGTCTTGCCAGACGAAGAGGAGGAAGCTTTGGCGCCTTTGCCGTGACCTTTTGGCTTGGTGCATTCTCTAGCCCAATGGCCAACCTGCCCACATCTATTGCGTCTTGTGCGCCGCTTCATCTCTTCGATCTCAACCTTGAAGCTGCGTTTTGTATCACCGGGATCAACAGCTGGCTCAACTTGGTGCTCAGCCAGGAAAAGCTCCATCTCGGCGATGGCCGAGTCAGCTTCATCGCCTTCAGGAGGATCTTCTTCAACGATGGCGGCAGCTGTAATGGGCTTCTTTTTACCCACAGTTCAGGATAGCAGGAGCGCATTGCTCTTCCGATCTCTTCGCGCTTCAGCGCACCCAAGGAGCGAGACAACACCACCGCCTTCTGCTCTTCCGTCAAACCAGCTCGGTGTAAAATCAACCATCCTCGAGCTTCTTCGGGAAGGAGACATTGACTTTGCTTTGAACTCGATCGAACACCTCAGTGGCCCGAGATACCCAGGCCTTCAATGTCTCTCCGTCATGAGCTCGGAGTTGAAACACCTCAGTCAGGACCTCAGACATCTCGTCTGATTGATCCTTTTGCGGGAGCCTCTGATCCAGCAACTCGAAGATCACCTTTTCCCCTCCGGTCTTCTGGTAGGTGGAGGGTTGCAAATGTTCCACACACTTGAGGGCCTTTCCGGCCAGCAGGGTGTACACATAGGCGCCCTTGGCATTGTCAGAAACTTTGTCTCCCAGTGTGAGGATCTTGTTGGTGACCCATGTACGCCAGCGTCGATACTCCTTGGCATCTTCAGAATCACCAGTGAAGGTTCGCAAGCCAATGGACTCAGAAGAACTCATGGTATTCATGCTAATCCGAGCAGGGTCCTACCTACTCGGAGCCCCGGCTTTCCGGGGCTCCGCTACCAATCACGAAACCACCCGAGTCGAGTCCTATCGGATTATCGACACCCACGGGCACGCGTGGCATTTTCCTCAGCCAAATGCGGTCCCTGCGGTATGAACGGCACGTGAGTGGAGGCATTCATGCTAGCCTTCAACATATATATATATATACACATAATATGATCTACATATATAATACACACATGTGGCTAGCAGGCATCAGCTGGAGTCTACTCGGCACAACGTTCGTTCTGACAGGATTCTCCCGGAGCTGCAGCTTCTCCTGGATCGCCTGCTCGAACCTCCAGGGCACCTGAGCCGTCTGAGGTGCCAGTGACGGTTCTTCGCTTGCAAGAACCACGAGAGGATGAGAAGGAGAACGAAGAGAAGGAGATGAAGCGAATGATTGAGTTGCTGAGCAACAGAGTGTTGTGTTTGTAAATCTCCTCGCCCAGCTGGGGTTTTAAAAACAAGTGTATTGATGGCAGTGTAAAGATTTTGGTTACAGTACTGTAAAATACCACTGTGAAATATTACATGTAACAGGATTGTTGTTTTTTCTTCACGCGAGTTCTTGGGGTTGTTTACTTGTGAACAAGCAAACATAGGACTCTTAGTATATGTCGTCACAAATTGTGGTTTTATATCAACCTCAAGAACAGCCAATAATCTTCAGATGGGCTGGGGCACTTTGCTATTTGAGCAGCCCCGCGCAGCACTAGGCCCATTGTGGCCCAGAACTCTTGCACTTTTGTGCGGCCCCCGGCCACAAGGTGTATCCTGAGCTTGTGACAGCCATAGAGCTTTGTGGAACCAACTACCAGTGATGGAGGAAACCTTGCACCACCTTGAAGCAACCAACTCTCCGGTGTTGAGGTCCATCAAACACGGTCTATACACAAGCATGGACAGATGGCAGTGATGGCAGCACAAGCAAGTTGGAGCACTCCCTGGTCCGGGTGACGGCGCAGTGCCATTTGGACTTGACCAAGGCTTCGCATTGTTTCCCATCCGCACTCGCTTTTGCGGTCCTAGTTTTATCCTACAGTCTCTGCACCCTGAAGTCCAAAGAAGTGAGCAGGTGCCAAGACGGATTTCCATGACAGTCCTGTTGTTTTGTTTCAGGGTGCAATTTTCCCTGACAAACATTGCTTGCTTTTGAGACTTTGAATACAGTCAAAACTGCGGCATCTCTGTCGCATGTTTGTCCGTTCTGCCATTTGATCGACCTGATCGCATATCCACCAACAGATGGTACCAAAAAGTGCATGCAAAGTGTGGCTTTGTAGACACAGACGGGCCAAATGTGGCAGCTTGTTGAGGTGGAGCTGTTTCTGTCTGAGCTTTTATATTTAAGCATATTTCATGTAAGGCCAACTGTGCTTGGGCTTTTGCAAGACTGGGTCTTTGCGACGAAAGGTGCAATACTCGCTTTTGATCGACTAGTGAAGAGGATGCAAGGTTCTTGAGTTCTTGAGCAGAACATGCGGTTTCTCATCATAAATGCTACTGCTCAAGGCTCAAGTGATGTCCTTTGATCCTTGCAGGTTGCTCACAGCCTTAACCAGCGAGGCCACTCGAGAGCGCAAGTGGGCTGTGTTCATAGATGCTCATGGCACAGGCTGCCCAGAGGATGGCAGAGTTCAGCCCACAAAATCAGATGTGTCACGATCTCAGGGGAACTGGTGTTGATTGGGTCACTTTAGAAGGAAGCCGACCTGAACCAGGTATGCTATGGGCTTGCGCAAAGCTGCAATTTCTGTCTCGGGGCTCAGCTGAGCTCAGTTTCTTCCTTTTTTCTCAAAATCTCCCAAGGAACCCATCAACAAAGCATTGGTCCTAAGGGTCAACCATTAGCTTTAGCGCAACGTCGTATTGAGAGTTGAACACTGACTAGCGTCATGGCTTTGGTACTATATCCTGGGTTCAACTTGGAGGATGCTACATGTGAAGAGATGTACCTTTCGTTCAAACGGCAGGGGCAGGCTCAAGGATACATAAAGTGGGGCCGGAACATGCTGGAACGAAGGGTAAGGAACGGTTCTTGCGGTAATTTCGATTGGATTCCCTTTTTGATCGTGGTTGCTTCTGGTGGCTTCTTATCCCGATGAGACATCCTTTGAGGATCCGTCCATACAGCAACGCAATCCCGCATTCTGGGGGGTGGATCGTTCCCACTTAGAGCTCTGCCATGTTTCTTTGTCCTTGTTTGCCTTGTTTTCCCACAAGCCCTTGGCCTGTCCACGTGTCCGGTCCACATGGAAACGACTCCACAATGTCTGACCCGGTACGCGGTGAAACGGTCTTCAGACCAAAGTCTGGAGCTGTGAAAAGCCTTGTAAGGCCTGTGAAATCTGTCATATTTGGTCTGGATTCTGTGGGTCCAGGCAGCTGCGAAAGGGCATTGAACGGGATGTTTAGAGTGACATGAAGCACGACATGGAATCGACGACAGACGTCCCCAAACTAAGGTCTCTCAAGCTTTTGCAGGCTGTCCAGCAGACCATGACCTCACTTCGAGACTTTTCTTCACAGGCACACACTACGCCTCAAAGACCTGTATATAATACATTTCTTCATCCAAGAAGTTGAATTGTATGCATCAACCCATGTCCTTGTGGCCCGTCCTGCACTCAGCATTTGTCCATGGTGGCGTGGTCTTGTGGAAGCCTGGGCGTCCGAGAGAACGCGATGATGGACCGGGAGTCCTCAGCACGGATATATAAGCTATTTAAATCTGTGAAGCTTCATTTCAAACTGACTTCTATTAACAGTTACTGTAACACCCCTCTGCAGGACAACATCGCTGTAGAAGCATCCAGGAAGATCCGAACATTCACTCCGCAGGCGAAAGACACGTGTATAATTACGAAGGATTTTAGCAAAAAAACTGGGCATGGCACTGATGCGACAATTCGATTCTTTTGCAATTGCCGATGCCAGAATTTGGCCAATATGGCATGGGCTTTTGCTACTCTTGATGTCCGCGAGCGGCTTGAATTCTATTCTGGTATTGCAAGTTCAATCTGGCCCCTTTTTGAGGTCACACGAAACTATTTTCGACCATATCACTGGAGGCAAGGCAGAGGTTGCAGGACAGAGGTGCCATTTTTGAAGTTGGTGGAATGGTGGATGCTAACCTTTCTTGTGTTTGCAGGAATTCAATCAACAACATTTGTGCAATCTGGTCGGTGGCTTGTGAATGCAATCAACACTCTGCATCGATTTTTTTTAAATAGTCCATATGGACCACGGGTCACAGGCCTGGGCCTTCAGCACAATCCACCTAACAGATGAGGAGCGCACTATGCGGCGTGGAAAGTGAGAGCTCCTATTTTTGTTCCGATTTTTTGTTACTACTAGTAAGGCACTTGTTACTACTAGCGTGGCACTTGTTCCTAATAGCGAACCTTGTTACTACTAGTGGGGCTCCGTTCTGACTTCGATCACGTAGGATCTTTTGCTCCCACTTGCCGAGCAAGTGATCAGTCGAGCTGACGAATTTACTCCACAGGTGCCGCCGCAGCTTTTGTGATGCTTGGAGCCACATTCTCTCTGGTCTTCCCTTCCCAGGGTCTCTCCAACATCGCATGCTCCTTCGCAGTGCTCCAGCCCCAAACCCTTGCCATTCTCGAAAGTTTAATGTGGGGCCGAGGTACTGGGTCTTGGGCATCACAACATGTTTGAGGCAGGGCGATGTGTTTCCAAACCATGAATGCGAACAATGACATTTTCAGCATCGATTCAATCCAATGGATTTTGTTGATTGTTAGCAGGTTTTGTTCCAGTGCAAAGCTCCCTTGTGATTAGAAAAAGCTCCTGTGATTTGGCAGGCTGTTGGACAAGCATCAATTCCAAAGGCCTACCAATGTTGCTAGCGAGCACATCCTTTGTCATGTGTTGTTCTTGCGGCATAAAGACTCTTTTCCATTGTATCGCAACACTGGTTACCTTGACTCCCTGTTTCAGTTGCCAAGATCGAGTCGTGGCTACTAGGTCAAACATTTCTCTCCTCATGACTTGGAATCCATTGCCTGGGCATTCGCACGACTTGGTATACACAGAGAGGCACAGTGACTTGCAGAGAGGCTTCCAAGTGCAGATTGGTCAAACACAACGACCGCCATTTTCCTTTCGACTTAGATGCAGATGGTTTTTTTTGGAGCTGATGAACAACAGTGTGAGTTTTGGCACCCCGACGAAACGCGCAGGTTTTGATGGATGGCATCTCCCAGGCGAAACGCACCATTCCAGTGACCGACACGACGGAGCTTAGCTCCGATGGCGCCATGAACCGCTCTGATGGGGCAGGAAGCCAAGTTGAAGATCGGCCAGTTCCATGCCCTGGACTGGGGTAGAAAGAGACAACTAAAATGGTATTGAGGCCTGAGGCATTCTGAGATGAGACATTCGGAGACTTGCCAGATTGAAAATGATTGAAATAAGGTGAGACATGTTTTTCTTGCGAATATCACGAAGATACAAGATGATACAAGATGATTCCGGATTACCATTGACCAATTGACCAACATATCTTTCTGAACAGTATTTTCCAATCCACATCCAAGAAGCTTTGGAGGATGTTGCCAACCTGGCCTGGGCTTTCGCGACACTCCGAGTGAGGGACAGATGCGTTTGGGAGTCTGGCCTGAGATGTTCAGGATTTTCGACCTTTCACAGTTTGAGCCATGGCTATTGGGTGTTACTATTAGGTAGGAGGCCATCGCTATTGAGTTGGAGGCCATCGCTGCCGCTATTAGGTTGGAGGAAGATTGGGGTGTGCACAACGCCATGTGATGTTTCCTCGAAACCAGCTCCTGGACTCTCGGAACAGAGGCCACCCCTGATTTGTTCCAGGACCAGGAACTGATGAAGACTCTGGAAGAAGCCGCCAAGAACACCCCGGTGGTGGTCCTGGTTCCATTTATTTTGCATCAGGTAATATGAAAGCTGCCATGGATTTCAATTTACATGATTCGACGGTGTACACTTGAATCCAGGTCCATGGCTTTTCTTCCCAGGACAGCAGAACATGTTTTTTATGCTCAGTGAAAATCCGACGCTAACTTCCAGGCGCTAAGCCAGATAGCTTGGGCCTTTGCCTCTTTGAGCTGTGCCTGGGACAGAAAGACTGGAGAAGTTTGTGTTTGGGCAGGTAAACCTGACAGTCTGGATAGGGTTGAAGCTGGTTTGCTCGGGTTGAACGCAATCTGGAAGTCTTTCCTTACAGGTGCTTCAGACGCGCTTCTGAACCATCTGTCGGAGGAGGCCATTTTGGCGGAAGTCTGTCCTATGTAGCCAGCAGAATCATTGCCGCAGCATTGCATGATATGAGTATATTGGTGACAGGTCTTGTTGCGTGTTGATGATTTGGAGTTGCAGCAGCTTGCAGTGCCTTGGCTCAACTGGGCTTGCCAGGGTTTGATCCACAAGCCTCGTGTCGTGGTAGATGCTAGAGCTTGACGGCTTTGGAAAGCAAGAAAACTGGTTCTGACGGTGGAAGAGTTGAAATTTACAGGCTTGAACTGATTGAACAAGTGCAAACCTTCCTGTTCTTTTCTGTGAAGAGTCGCCTTGTCACCTGAACCCTTGACTTGATGATCATGGCCGTTGTCCTTACACCGCGCAGGCATTGCTTGACACAAAACTTCCTCGCTGCAGAGTACTTGGCAGGCACGAAATCTCAGCAACCAGATTCTTGGACTGTTCAAACCATTTATGCATCATGCTCCAACCTGACAAGTGGAGGTACAGCAAGGTACAAGTTACAAGTTACAAGAGTCTACTTGTGCATTTTGTTTCTTCGTTCCTTTTGGAAGATCTTTTCCGGTCCATTCCGTTCTTTCCCTGCCCGTGCCGCTTTGGAGGCGCTTCGGAGTTCTGCTTTGGCGCTTCCTCGAGGCGGCTCAACTCGCGGCTCGGCCGTCGGATCTGGACGGTCGGGGGTGGACCGAGCCAGGTCTTTCCCAGAACGAAGGCTCAATGGATGGAAGAGGAGAAGAATGACTTGGATGAAGAGATGCAGAATTTGTGATTGAACTGCTCCAGGAATATTGGGATTTCCTGCAGAAGCTCCAGGCCTGTGAAGAGATGTAAGTCCTGTATAGGTTGACTGCAAGAGCTTGGGGTAGGGGAGGAGAACCCGATTCCACAGAAAAAACTGAAGCGAAGTAGCCTATCGCCTGTCACTAGCAGTGCTTTCTCAGAAGTTTTCAAGTTTGAACAGACAATTTACTTACTGTAGATATATCGGCCGAGTTTTCTGGCTCTCCCCCTCGCCTTTAACTGCTTGAAGGTTGACAACTTTGGGCTTCATGGTAGCTCTTTCGTGCTCCAGCGCTTGGGCATTGGAAAGGCTCGCAGAAGATTCGTCAACGCACAGAAGAACTGCATGCTGTTATGCGGTAGGTCAGGCCGTATGCACAAAATGCAACACAAACAATGAATCTAGCTGGACTACCGCAACAAAAGATTAACACGAGCTCCACACGATCCTTGCTTTGCAAGGGATATTGTCCAGGGAGCGTGGTGAATTGAATCCACAGGAACGTGCTGCTGTTTTCAGAGGTTGTACTGCCAGTCTATGTAGGCAGATGCCGCCTTTGCTGCCCGGGCACAGGATGAAGTCAAGAGGTGCCTTGTTGCAGGCAGAGTGAGGCTAATGATACATGCATGAGATTCATGAGTACTTTGCAGGGCAAATCGAACTACACGGCAAAGTTCCATCATTTGTCTAAGGTATGTTGGGCAGAGCAACGATGCGCTACGAGGGCTTACAAACCAGGTGCCTCAGTCCATGGATTTTTGTACTTCCTTTTTTTTTGTTTGTTGTCACTTCATGCATGAACGAATAGCTGGATGTACTGCATCAGGATGTACTGCACAACCGGGTCCTTCCCTCAGCATGAGTGACAGAGTGACAAAGTGACAGGAGTGTTGTGCGCGTCGACGCAGGTTTGCAGCTTTGCGGAATTTGACTTCAGTATACCTGGGAAGGTTGGCAGCCCGGCCCGGGTCAATTGCTTTTTTGGTAAAAAGGCCCGGCCCGGCCGTTCTTTTCTTGACCTCAAGGAGAAGAGCTTTTCTGGCAAAATGATCCGTGAGAATGGGCGGGAGCCTTGGAGTGAAGAAAGGAGGTTTTGTGTCGATGTGAGAACCTGTTAGCAGTGAAGATCCTTCAATCGGATTTTGGTCCAGGTTCTGGTCTGCCAGTAGATCACGCGGTGGGAAGTGTCGATGGCTTCGAGCTGCAAGTCTCAAGGTGTTCAGACTGTGGAGTCTGGAGACGGTCTCACCAGAACTCATTCCAGAAAAATATTCCTCTTCATTCTCTACCTGTCAAGAAGCATGTAGACTCACCTTTGCTCCTTCTCTTCCTGTGCATCACTTCGTGCAGGTGGGAGCCCTGGTGGATCGAAGCTTCTGCAGCGAATTTCAGACCCTGGAGGAGCCGTGGATCGAAGATCGAAGACCCGAAGCCCCTTCTGGTTGTCCGGAGGTGTTTTTCCGTCTCGTCTCTTTGTTTGGGTTTCCTGAGAAGAGGTATGTTGGGTATCCATGGAATGAAGTATTGAGGCCTCAAAGAATCACCGATGCCTGGACTGCTGTGGATAGAGTCCTGCATGTGCAGGAGCTTTGTGATTGCATCGAGCAGGCTTGCCACTACTTGGCCTGTCATGTTGCAGATCTCCAGCTGCTTCCACTGGTCACCAATCCTGTTTGTGCTCTGGTTGATGGCAACGCTGGTGGCCGCTCCCACCTGTTTTCAGGAAGCAGCTGGGGCTGCACTGCTGGAGAATGTGAGTGTGCGGGGCCAAGGGGGTCAATGGAGGGCAAGTGCTTGGTCCTGTTTGGTGTTCAATCTTTGGTTAGCCTTGCCAGCTATATACTGACCCGCCAGGGGTGCCCAACCTGACCTCGCCATTGTCAACTTGGTTTCGCTCGGCTGGCTCAAGCCAAACATCGTTTCACTCGGCTTGTTTACAAAGCGACGTTTGAGGAGCAGACTCCCTGGAGGTCATGCGATCTAGGGCGGTCTAACACCATCCAACGACACACTTTCGAGCGATGCCATGTGTTTTTCTCTCAAATCCAACGACACACGAGACACAGTGGTGCATGGTGTAGAAAGATCCCCACTGTGGAGACCTAACTTTCACAGACCCAAAAAGAGCGCACAGACACCGACCGGGTCAGTTTGTCGCGAAGATGGAGGGCTCGGGGACGCCACGGGCCCCCTTGCTCCACGCAGATCCTCGACAAGAAGGGATTGGTCAGGCAGCCTGGCAACTGGAAGACTGCTTGAAAGACCGCTTGTTCTCTTCATATCCATCCAATTACAAGGCGCGGTAAATGTCGACCAGCTTGCTTTGAGCCTTTATGTTTGAATGTCGTCCTTAAAGTGAATGAGAATGGGCAGAACACATACAACAAATGCAATGACAACATCTACAATAATTGACATTGAATTCACCAGTTTTGTTGTTTGCAAACTGATTTGAAGAGGCCAGACAACTGCACTTTGAAGTAGCTCGAGCTAATCTTCATTATACCAGAGCCCTGGCGATAATGCTGATTCTCACCGTCTTTGAGACACCTCCCTGGTGTAATCTCGACAACTTCTTCGCGTGGGAAAGCGGAGAAGAGCGCTGCCAAGTCGAAGGGGTCTCGTCCTCCCACATCCTCTTGTCCAACGTGTCCTACATTCCGCCGGGCTGGAGCCTGGTGATCGAAGGGATCATTCTATTCGTGATCGCCCGGAAGCTCCTGTTGGAAAGGATGTTACAGGTCCGCTACTTCAAACCCATTGCCGTGGAGTATCACAGCTTGCCGGTGATTCGCTTTGGTTTGGTCATGTGCCTTTGGAAGTTGGCCGACATGTTGGTCTTCGGCCTCTTCCGCCCCAACTTCCGCACGGCCTTTGTGGCCCGGACGGGATTTCTGGTGATGCTCCCCTCGGTGCGGCGGCTGGGCCATTGCGTCTTCTCGGTGATTGGGGAGTTCATGTCCATTGCGGTGATCTACGTTGGGACGGTGATCTTTTTCGCATGGGTCTTTGTGACCATTTTCGATGATATCGAAGGCATTGTGCATGGCAAGCCGGTGAATCATGGACTGGATTCCTTTTCAAGGCAGCTTCAGTGCACTACTAGGAACAAGAAGCTACTAGGGGCTCCTGGCCGTACCACTAGGAGCAAGGACGCTACTAGGAACAAAGGGCATCGCTACTCCTGGCATCGCTACTGGGATCAGGGAACGTCATGAGAGATTCGTTTTGTCGTCATATGTTGGCCGGAACAGCCCCCGTCTTTTGGCCTTCTTTTGCACGGTCACTAGTCTTGGATAGTATATCTACCGGAACCAGCGTCTCTTGCAGGTCCTTAAACACCATCTTCATTGCTGGGTCTACAGATGACTTTGTAGATTGTCTGCTGCCCACTTACACATCCTACAGAAGCAGTGGATTGCTTTGGTTTGTCTTCCTGGTCATCGTGCATGTTTTGCTGCTCAACCTGGTTTTAGACACACTTGTAGCCGCTTACACCAAATACTCTGAAGAGCAGGAGGAAGAAATCACCAGTGAAAAGGTGCAAGGCATTCTCAACGTCTTTCGAACAGTTTCCAGAGTCACTGATTCAAGTGTGATCACTCGGCAGACCTTCATGGACTTCTGTGAGGAGGGGTGTTGAGTTGTGTCGGCCAGATTTTTTTCCAAGTTGTCAAACGGAAACAGTAGGATTATAAATGGTGCTCATGGTCCTCTGACCTGTGAACATGTTTCGCTGGCCAAAAAGCTCGGCATTGCTGTGCAGAGAATTTCTTGGTGCATTGGTTGGAGGCCATCGCTATTAGGTTGGAGGCCATCGTTTGTAGGTTGAAGGCCGTTGCTATTAGGTTGGATCCTTTAAACTCTTAAACACTGCAGGAATTCAGCAGATCTCCTGGGGTGAGAAGCCTTGCCGGCGAGACAGCAGACATTATGTTCACCACGATGGATGCTTTGATTGTACCAGTCAAGTCACTTTTTGTTTGCCACTCAAAGGAGCGTTTTGAGTCTGGTTATTCAGGGTTTGGTTGGTAGCAAGCCTCACCGAGCATTGTGAGGATGCTGATGGAAGCAATGAACTTGAGAAGGATGAGTTCTTTGGCATTTGTGGTGTGATCCAGTATGATTTCTGGGCTGTTGTCACAGACTCGCCTGTGAAGCAGGTTTTCCCAGCACTTTGGGATAGCAAGGGCTTCAGCTACTTTAGGCAGCAGGTGTACAATGGGAACTTCGACACCTTCATGAATTACGTCTTATTGTTGAATCTCTTGCTGGTTGTCTCTGAGACAGCATACGATCTAAATGGATGGGAAGAGGCCAAACTCATGGAGCATTTGGAGCTGATTTTCTCCTTCGTTTACGTGACAGAAGTGGGACTCACCCTCTGTGTGTATTCCTGGGCAGAATATTGGAGCTCTCGATCCAATCAGTTTGACTTCATGACCACATGGCTTTTGCTGGGTTCTTCTGTTGGTTACGAGTTGGTCAACACTTCTGGCAGTGGGCTGAACGTGAAGAAGTATATGAACATCTTACGGCTCCTCCGTCTTCTTCGAGTTGCCAAGCAACTCAAGAGACTGAAAGCTGTTCAGTTCATGATCGCCACTATTACCAAGCTTATCATGGCTTCACAAGAAATCTTGATCCTCCTTGGAGTCATTGTGTTCTTCTTCTCAGCCTTGGGCTTGCAGCTTTGGGGAGGGACTTTGTACAAGACGCATCCGGCTCTGGAAGGGACGGAGTATGAAGAGAAAGACTTTTTTGTGCTCAACTTCAATGACTTCCTGATGTCGTTTGCTGTTTGGGTCGTCTTGCTTTTGTGTGAATACAAAGATGAGTTCTCCTCAGCCGTGGCAGCCACATCTTCAGTGCCGGGAAGCTGGCTCGTCTTCTTGCTCTTCTATATATTGGGTGTTAGCACCTCGGAAGGCAAAATCAGTTGGCTCTTCAGCAAATCAAGATAGACGGAGTTCTGGGGAAAAACAATTTTGAGCTTTTTCAGTGCCCAAACAGTGTGCCTAAACAGTCGTGAAGGGGTCGCGAAGCGTTTCCCGTCTGCTGTACTGGTAAGTCGTGAGGCATCATTTTCGAGCTGGTGAAAGCGTTTACCATTGAAGTCTTTGTGGAGCTGCACAAACATCGCAACAAAGAAGTGAAGGAATTCCAGGCTTTGAAGGCAGTGGAAGCTGAAGTGACATCACGTGGGCAGACCTTGCATTATCGACACTGGGCCATCGGATGAGTCATGCCGTTTTAGGATCGACATTGGGTCGTTTTACTGTGTTTTTGTTAATCGTTTTTGCCGGCGGCACATGCTGGCAATGTAGCAGCAGGGACCAACCTTGAAATCTTCAACGCTTTTGAGGGAAGTTGTCACGGGATTCAGCCAACAAGGAATTGTCGGGGACCTGACGCTTCATGAGAAGATTATTGCAGCCCTTGAAGAGGTCGAGCATGAGATCCATGAGGAGCTTGAAAGTGGCCATCACGGTGAGAATGGTCATGATGGCCATGCAAATGGCGGCCATGCAAATGGCGGCCATGCAAACGGTCATGGCCATGGCGGTTAGCAATAGTTAAGTAGACATGATTGACATGATTGCTTGGCAAAATTGAGTCTTCGCAAGCCTGCGTGACGTCTGCTGTTTGCGTGACGTCTAACCGAAGCAGCTTTGGCCTTGACTCGGGCACCAGCTCGGCCTCAGGGCTTCCTACGGCTCTTTGTGTCAACCACACCCTGTGTGTCTTGCATTGGAGCCAGCTCCTCAGTAATTAGTTGCCACCGGTGGCAATCGCAGGAGTTGAGAAAAGGTTTGCATGCGTTTTGAAGGCATCCTTCAAAGGCACTGTCGGGGAGACAGTGACAGGTGATCAGTGAAGCTGATCAGGCACTTGCTTTGATAAACAAACGTTTCTGCAAATCTATCTTCTGGCTCGAGTGCTTGAGATCATATGAGTTGAAATCGGGCAAAGATGTTGCTGGACCGCATATGTTGAGGGCGGAACTCTGCTATTTGCGGTTCCCTAGTTTGAGCTCATTGGGCAGCATGTGTTTATTTCTAGTGTTGTCCAGAGAATAGTGCATTTGAACGTAGATAGGCATGTTTCTATACTGTATTCAAAAGACACATGTGCTTCTAAAGTCCAGGAAACAGACAAACGCAGGCAATGCACGCAGCCCTAGTGACAACATGTTCATCAAAATTCGGACGGGTTCTCAAACGAAGCTTTGACCAGATAACCAACATACTGATTTTGGTGGCTTTCATGGATGTTGTGGATCTTTCCGATGATGACGGGGAGATGGAGCAGTGGATTGCGCAAGTAAAGGAAGTCTGCCCATTTGCTTCTCTTGAGGACATATCAAAGCTGCTACTGGACACCAGGGACCCTGTCAATGCCATACATAGGATCCTGGATAGACACTGAGTACTGATGAGTACCCCTTTCTTGTAGATCGAACGTTTTCCCAGTTTCGTCAAAGCGAGTTTCTCTCAATCAATCAAGCCACCTCTCAATTGCTTGGTGCTTAGCCTGCGCTTTCCGACGCCAAGGAAGGCTACCAGCTGCACCAGACTTGAGCGCCAAGTCTGGGGGTCCCACGACAGTCGAAGACGCCCCACGGTGGGGCCCATTGAGACCTCCATCATCGAGAGACATGCGAATTCGCCGTGGAGCAGGACGCCACAAGTTGTTTTGCTCTACAAACCAGTGGTTTTCAGGGTCCATGTTAGTTTTCAGCGGGGTATTGAGATACGAGCTTGAGAATCTTCCGCTTGCATATGTTTACTTGTTTTCGGAAGGATCTCCTTTGCAGCCACATATGGAGCACCTTGCAAGGGACTTAGAATGCCTTCATTTCGCAGGTATCAACCAGTAGACCCGGTGGTAGGCCTTGGAAGTTGGGCGACAAGAAGACATTTCTCAGGAGTGGGATACGCCGATTCTTTTTGATTCTCTTTGTATGATTCCATTTTATGCAGTAGACTCACAGTAATGTTTTCAGCTTTGCCTTTGCACATGCAGAATGGCATTCAATCAAAAGTCGCTTTTTGCACGGCAAGCGGCTGGGCTCAGGTTGTTCTCGACTTCGAGTGGACGGCAGACCGAAAGCCCGTGAAGCCGATCAGTGAAATCACGCAATTTCCTTCTGTGCTGGTTCGCTTAGATGGCCACAAGAGCAAGATCGTGGATGAGTTTAACACATACGTGAGGCCAACGCTGAACAGCGTGCTCCCCCAGTTTTCCATCGAGCTGACGGGAATTACGCAGGACATGGTCGACAGATCGCCATCGTTGGACGAGGCGCTTGGAAAGTATCTCCTTTGGCTAAGGTCCCATGGCCTGGTGGGAGAATGTGGGGAGCGTTTAGGGTCTTGGGCCTTTTGCACGTGGTCAGACGCTGATATCGCTGCGCAGCTGGTACGTGAATTCCATTTCAAGAAGCTTGACATTCCAAAATGCTTTGACCAGTGGGTGGATTTGAAAATTCTGTACAAAAGGCATTACAGAAAAGAAGCAACTGGCGGCCTTCAAGCATGTGTGGAGAGGGTGGGGCTGCGATTTGAGGGTCGAGCACATGATGGTTTGATTGACTCCCGGAACACTGCTGCCATTGCGAGAGGCTCAGTTGCTGCTTTGAAAAACGCAAGGTAGCTGAAAAGCTGCATTCAGTCTGTTTTAAACAAGGGTAGGGATTGCTATGCCAAAATGAGTGAGTAGTGTATCTGCATTGTCATGCTCGGCTGGGATGATTTTGTCTCCCTTACACTCCTTTTGTCTCCCATGGCCCTTCTTGGATGGTGGGATGATTCTGCCGTGTCTTCCTGTGTCTCCCATGGTTCAGAACTGGCGGCAAAAACTTTCAAGGCTGGCTGCTGTCAATCTGCCGCTGCTGTGTGGGGTCGATGCTGCTGCTGCTGCTGCTGCTGCTTTTTTCCGGTTGGATTCCCAGCCTTTGACCGGTTTCAGCTTCGATTTCCGCCTTTGGGCCAGCCGCATTTGTATTCCTTAGTCACAACTTTTCGTTGGAAGGACCTATCACTTCGCTTGCCGTGCTGGTCCCAATGACAGAATATATGCAAAGTTTTGTTGGTGGTCGAGTTGACGCAGGATCTCAGTCAAGTTGTGCTCATGTGGCACGACAATTTTTCTTTTGCAGCTTCCAGTTGCTTTGGGATATCTAGTATTGATTCCACTCTGCACTCATTGACGAGGTGCTGCATATGGCGCGGGGGTCCATGCTGTTTGGTTCCTTTACCTTCCGGCGCCCGACTCGTGGCCTTGACCAGAACGGGTATGCATACGGAAGCAAAGCCAGCCAAGCGGCCAGGGAAAAAGTTTGGCGGAGGGGGGTGTGTAGCCCAAAGTTCCAACAAGGTGCCAGTATGCCAACATCAATGATGGTTGTATATTTTCTGGAGTTGCTCTTGCTGAGGCATTGAGCCAGTTCCGGTTGCTTTTTCCCCATCTTTGCATGGAGGTGGGGTGTTGGGCGAAAGCGCTGCATGCATACACAGATTATATAGTATTATATAGTTGTGAGTCGTGTCAACGTTCTTTCTGAAAACTTCAATGGATAGTTCCTTGGCTGAGAAAGTTCATGCGACTGCTGTTCCAATACATGGGTTCTGGGGTGTGAAGTGTTTTGGTATGGTGTGAAATACCATTCTTCTTGATTCTTAATGCTTTTATCGTCCACCATTTTCGGGCTCCATCGAAGTTGAGGTCTAGTTTCTGTGGTCTCTTTAAGGGTCCACAATTGAGGCCTTATTGGTGCAGGTGCATCGTTTACTTTTCCTTCTTGTGCCCTGAAGCCTCGCAAGGTCGCTTGTGGTCAGATGCCCATGCGGCAAGGCTGGCAACAGGAGACTGCAGGGTTTGTTGACCGAAGGCCAATGTGTTTGCAGATGTATGTGGTCTAATATATGCCAAAACATGTTCAAAGCAGACAGTGCCACTAAAGGTTGCTCTTGTGTTCTGGTGATTGCATCAAAGGCTGGACCTACACCACTAGGACAAACGTGTTTCTTCTTAAAGGCTAATAATTGGCAACCTGTTCCTGTTCCCCTTAGAGAATCCTGCAAGACACCTCACACGGTAGAATTTCCTCCCTCCAAAACTGTTTATTTAATTCTTAATTGACCGTCCCATACTGGCCAGGCCAAATGGACTTCTTAATTTCGACTTTGTCCGGTTTGTCAGTGTCGAATTCATCCGTCCGCATTTGGATGCAGGATTTTGGGCGATGACATGGAGCCGCTTGGACAGATGCATGACACGGAGCTTTGTGATTGTATCAATGATAGTTCTTGCATGGTATGTCAAGATCCTGGAGAGTCTGCAGAGGTTCTTAGTTCAAGTACAGGAGGAGGTGCTTGTGTGCGCTGCTGCAGGGTACCGTTGCAGGGTGCCGGTGCCGCTGCATGCGGCTGCAAGATGTGCGCTTTTGGAGCCTGGATGCCGGTGTCGGCAGGTTCCGGTGCAGAAGTTGCTGCGGGGTGGTGCTGCAAGATGTCTATGTGTGCTTTGGGGCCTGGATGCTGGTGCTGGTGCTGCCCACAAACATGTTTTCCTATCTGGGGTCTTTGCTGGCGTCATCTTTGGAAAGGGAAACAGCTAGACTCCCTTTCCTGTCAAACGTTTGCTATTATTTGTAGTTTCACATGCTGTTGCATTTTGGACACGCCATGACACGCCAGGTGTATTTTTGTAATCCGGGAACACAGAACACAGCAGTTTCCAAAGCACCTCTTGATTTCTGATCAACCCATCACGCCAACACACCTATTTTTTGCCCACACCCGACTTCAGTCGCCCAGTCGCCAAGGTAGTTGCATTTGGCGGGCACATCTTTTGGGCGAAAAGAGCGGCCTTGCACATGGGACACTTAGTTGGGGTTAGTTTTTTGACCTGTCCTTAGGGGCTTTGCCAGCCCTGTGATCTTCCTGTTGAAGGTTTCTGGACCAAGGACACTTTTAGGGCCTGAGGCTTGCAGGGGTGTGGCAAGGGGTAGGTCCAAAACACTTGCAGCAACCTTGAGGTGTTTGGGCTCAAGTCCAGCCTTTTTTTGATGCCCCTTTCGAAATTCACCAGGACCTCTAAGGTGTTGTTGATTTTGACTTTGCTGGTGGAAGGCACCACTTGCATACTTTTAAGACTTTGACGAAGCACAAATCCTGCCTTCGATGGAACTCCCATGGCCGCTCCATCGGACTCAAAGGGCTTGACCTGGCGTTTGCTCGGTGCCAGGCTTGGTGATCGTCACATCTTGGCTCTCCCAGCAAAAGAACTGAAGAAATTGGGATTGACACAAGGCGATGTTCTCCTTCTTCGTGCCAATGGTTGCCAGACGGTTGCCGCTTGTGAAGCTGGAGGTCGAGAAGGAGGCTTGCTCCTGAGCAGCACAGCTCGCCTGTCTCTTGCTGCAAATGATGGAGATGAGATTTTGGCGATCAGCGATTTTGAAGCTGAAGAGGCTGCTGAAATCTGTCTAGAAATCTCCAGTGTCTTTGCAGGGGCCTGGTCTTCAATGGCTGGTGGACTGGAACTCAACAAGTACTTGAAAGCCGTGCTGGATGGGACGCTCCTGTGCACAGGAGATATTCGGAATATTTCCCTCAATGGTCAAGCCTGGGAGATTCGAATTTCGGGAATTCAGGGCAAGGCCCCTTTGTCGAAGCCAAGAGATGCCGATGACTGGAAAGGCCCTTGGTTGGCCACGAAGAAGACCTCTCTTCGAGTCACAAGCAAGGCGGAGAGTCGAGGAGAGGGATCTCAGAAAACAGACCCCTGGGGTTTCTCTCTGGTAGGAGGATTGTCTGCTGTCATTGAAGAACTCAGAGAAGCAGTTCAGTTTCCTCTACAAAATCCCAAGCTCTACCGGCAGATGGGGATTTCCCCGCCACGGGGAGTACTTCTCTATGGACCACCAGGCACTGGTAAAACCTTGTTAGCAAGAAGCTTGGCGGAAGAGCTGGACTGCCCTTGTGAGCTCATGGCGGCCACGGATTTAGTAGGCACCGGAGTTGGTGAGTCGGAAGAGAGGATTAAATCAGCGTTTGAGAGTTGCAGGCAGCAGGCCTTTGACCGTGGAACTGGCGCACTGCTTTTCATTGATGAAGTTGACGCGGTTTGTCCCAAACGAGACGATGCAAGTGAAGTTGAGAGAAGAATGGTTGCAGCCTTCCTGACCGCCCTGGATGGAGTGCATTCGGGGGACAGCGTTGTGGTCTTGGGGGCGACCAACCGTCCGGATGCCATTGATCCTGCACTGCGACGTGCGGGGCGTTTGGAGCGTGAAATTGAAGTTGGTGTTCCAAACTCTGAAGAGCGACTGGAGATCCTTCATGTGCACTTGTCAAAGCTCCGTCATTCTTTGAGCGAAGAACAGCAGCGGGAGCTGGCCAGGAGATGTCATGGATATGTGGGTGCGGATCTCCGTGCTCTGTGCACCGGTGCAGCTCGTGGGGCACTTCGAAGGGGCAAAGAACAGATCGATTTGGAATGTTGCTTTGAGGCTTGCCGACAGGTACCTCCATCTGCTTTGAAAGAGCTCTTGGTAGAGGTCCCAGAAGTGACATGGGATGATATCGGTGGTTACGAGAAGACAAAGGAAGCTTTGAAAGAAGCTGTGGAGTGGCCGATTCAGCATGCCTGGGCGTTTGAGTCTATGAGCATGGAGGCTCCACGGGGTGTGCTTCTTTATGGACCACCTGGTTGCTCCAAGACCATGATGGCAAAAGCGGTGGCAACTGAGACTGAGATGAACTTCATCTCGGTGAAAGGTCCAGAGCTCTTTTCCAAGTACGTGGGCGAAAGCGAGCGCGCGGTGCGTGAGGTGTTCCGCAAAGCACGGGCAGCCTCGCCCTGCGTCATTTTCTTTGATGAGGTGGACTCCCTTGGAGGAAGCCGAGAGAGCGAAGGCGGTGGGGTGGCAAGTCGAGTGTTAGCTCAGCTGTTGGCTGAAATGGATGGCATCGGTGTGACGAAGAAGCGACATGTTGTAGTGCTGGCAGCCACCAATCGACCACAAGCTTTAGATGCTGCCTTGACTCGCCCTGGAAGATTTGATAGGCTGGTGCACGTTCCACTTCCTGATCAAGCCGCCCGAGAAGCCATATTCCAACGTCAGCTTTCTCGCATGCAAGTGAGCTTGGATATCGAAGCAACTTTTTTGGCGTCCCAGACAGCAGGTTACAGTGGTGCAGAAGTCGTGATGGTTTGTAGAGAGGCGGCCTTGTTGGCAATCCGAAAAGCTATTGCTGATGGGGAAGGAGCGAAAGCGCCTTGTGCAACTCTGGCTGATTTCAACTGCGCCCTAAGAGCTGTCCAACCTCGGATCACCACAGAGATGGCTCAGTTTTATGAAGACTTCGAGAGGAGAATGCAGCGCGACTAAGAAAAGCAGCGAGGGGTCTCAGGTGCGTCGCTAGGGCAGCTAGGGTATTCTGTATGCTGTTTCTTGACGGGACGTGCACTTCTTATCATTCTTCGCTGAAGCTCGGATCAGAGAAGAAGAGTTATCGAGAAGTAAATAAGGCAGTTTGGACCAGGGACACGGGCGGCCCGTTGAGTCATGCAAACATGGTTTCTTGAGCCACCTGTCCATTTACTGGAGCAGAGTGCTGTTTTTTGTTGGCTTCTTTTGAACTGACACCACCAGGACATTTGGACCTGAAATGCATAAAGTGAAAAATCTAGTAACGGGATGTAAGGATATGTAAGGTGCAAGGCCTTTTTTGAAAACTTACTCCACCCGCCGCGCTTGCCACAGCCTCATGACCTCAAATGGCAGACGAATCGTCTGCACCAGGCACAGCTATGTCATGACTGTGCTATCCAGGCTTTGGCGTACCAAAAATCCGCAGTCGCAACCTGCGCAGATGTGACTCTGGTTTTCATGGCAGTGTTGGCAGTGTCGTCTATATACAGTATGTTGGAAAGAAAGCACAGTCACCAACATCATAACATCGCTGCAAGTTCCAAAGGGAACCTCGTCACATTGTGCTTTCCATGTCACCTCGCACTTTCGCAGCATTCCTGCTCAAAGAACACTCGTGTTATATCCCTCACCCGATCTTGGTGCACACGTGCGATCCATGCCTTTCGTTGCGCAAGTGTGCCCAGGAGCAACACTTTGAACAATCCGAATTAGTATCGCATGTATCATATTGGTGTGATAAGATGCAAGAGCTTGACGATGCACATGGGGAAAATGAACCAGAGATACAAGGCCACAACGCCCCAAAGAAACATGTCCTAGAGTGAGTGCATTTTGAGATTTTTGACAATCCTACTCAGCTTTGAAGTTGGCACGCTGGATGCGATGCAAAACTCCTTAAGGCTTGAGGCCTGGAGAGGACTGAATTGGCCTGCTTGTCCATCTATCCACATTACATCTATGAAAAACCCAAGGAGGTTTGAGGTGCTGTGTTCTTTCATTTTCATGGTTTGAGGTGCTCGGAATTGCCGACGGGATGCCGAACACCTACCCCACCGATGCTCGAGACAGCCTTCGACATCGATGCTGACAGCCAAGAGGATGGTGGCCTCGACAGCGGTTTGTTCGGCATGGCCAAAACTAAGAGTCTTTAGACATTTGGAACTGCATTTTCCATTGGAACTGCGGAGTTTGGCACTCAGGTACCACAACGCCCACTGATACTGGTGTCTTTACCATTGATCGCCTCCAAGACAAGCTCAGCAAGCTCCAGGCAAACTGAAGATTTCAGGGGAGTGTGCTTCAGGAGACTTGGGAAGGGCTCACAGATTGCCCTTGTTGTGATGAGTAGAATGAGTATATATATATATATATCTGTGACTGGGATTCTCCCAGATCACAAAGGTAGCTTCTCAGCCCTCAACCAAACAACCTACGGGGTCTACTCCAAACCAACCTATGTGTGGTCCTCCACCCTGTTCAGCGGTCCACCGCACCTGTTTCCCTTCCTGCTTCCGAGTCGGCCCTTGAGCCAGACCATCATTGTGGTTGGTCTTCATCCCTTCATGGTTTCATTCGAAGGTGGCTTCACTGGCTTGTCGATTCGATCGATTCACACTGGTTGTGTTTTCTGTTCGAATGAAATCGGCTGCTTAGGAAATGATTCCACCCATCGAGTGCTGAAGGTTCTATTCGGATTGTTCTTCAGTTCACTGGTATCATCATAAATCCGAAATTTTCCTAGTGACAACACTTTCCTCATGAAAGTCGAATCCATTGGCTTGGTTAAACAGTCGGCTATCATGATTGCCGTTGAAATCCATCTGCATTCGGTTGAGTCGCTGGACTGCTGTTTGATCAACATGACCTCTATCGTAGTCCTCCATTCTTGGCAGTTCGGTGTAGCCATCTTGTTCACCAAGTCATACAGACTTTTACAGTCTGTCACCAGCAAGGCTTTTGGTTCGGCTTTCAAAGATTCCTCTGGCTTTTGCCATCGGAAACGGCTGTCTTTTATAATTGCCCACATGCATCTCAACCAAGTCAACTTGTCGAGTGACGACGACATTGCATATGCCTCTGCACTTAAAGTAGACCGAACAACCCTACTTATCTGCTTTGAGTGCCATGCCATAGGTGATATGTCAGAGATCCTATTTTCACTCAGTTCCTTAGTGCATGCTGCAATGAAGACACCCTGCTGTGCCTTAAGCTGGGATTCCGAAGCAAAGCTTGCGTCACCGAAGCTGGCAAACGTGACCTTTCCCATTGGGATGGGCTGTACAATGATTGTTGTTTTTGCTGTTTCTTTTGCTTCTTTAAGGACCTTGTTTCCATCGAGAAGGTCTCGAACTCTGGCATCACTTATCCTCTTCTGGAGAAAGGATACTTTTGTCATTATATCCGGACGCGAGTGAACTGCCGCGTACTGCATGCTCCCGCAAAGGGCTCTTAGGTGTTGAAGTTCATTGCTAGTTACCTTTGCTTCAGATTCTTTTCTCCTCAGTTTTGGAACATCTATTGGCTCTATTTGGTGAATATAGTCCTTCTGATTTATCCTGATCGAAAAGTCATCTTGCTGGTCGATGGTCAGTCCGGTGAATTTGAATTTTCTATACTCACGACTTCCAAATGGCAGGTGCTTTTGAATTCTTTCTAATGCTGCTTCGAATCGGCTGTTTCCTCCCCCAATTCCATCATCAACATGTGTTCCAAGAATTCCATCTATCCTGCTTGGATCGAATTTGCTTCTGAGGATGAATATGCAATTATCTAGAGGATGTGCTTCAAACCCTTCATCTTCCAGTTTGCTGCGAAACTCTTTGTAGAACAAGAGAGGTGCATCTACTCGTCCGTATGCGTTTCCTTTCAGTTTCAACACATGCTCACTTGTAAGCTGCAACATCGATTTGAATTCTTCCACCGGTTCCATTGCTAGCTCTCTATCATCCGAACGACCTCGTAGGAAAGCCGTTTTAATGTCGAATGATTGGATTGGCCAATGAAGAGAACTAACCGTTTGGAGTATCATCATGCGGCCATCGCGTGAGAGAGTGGGTGACTCCGTAGATACTATGCCTACTTCAGGGTCTTGGAATCCTCTTATTACTAGTCTAGCTTTAGGTTTCCTCCCCGACGGTGCATTTTGATCTTCTTTCCAAGTCAAGACCCACTTTGAAGACATGATCCGGCTTGGATGGATTTTGTCTCTTAGCAAAGGTTCGACGGTGCTCGTTTCGATCCAGCATTGCAACTCTTTCCGTTTGGCTTGATCGAACTGTTGCTTCTCTTCTTTCGTGAGGTTCCTATACTGCACTTCGGTGTGCGTTTTCTTGGCTGCTCGATTCAGGACTTCTGCATTTAAACACGGGTTCTGGCAAAACTTCTCCAATGTTTTCATTGGCACTACTAATTCGAACGAACAAACATGTGCTTCAGCTTCTAAAGATGCTTCTTCACTCCAGAGAGTGCCCCGGTCATCCACGGCTGGCTGGTTTGTGTCTACCCCTTCAACCATGCAAGTCTGAAACAAAACTGAATCCCCCGTTGATTCAAGTGTTTCTTCACCCCTTTCCAACCCTTCTGCAGGTACTTCCCTAAGTTCCTCTTCTGCTGCTGGATCTATCACCGGAATCTGGCTTGCATCCACTCCCGGACACTTCTCTGCTGATTCGGTGTTCGAATTTCTGCGAAGAGGTTCTTCCTCTGGCTGGGCGTGCTGGTGTTGGGACCTCACGGACTGTTCTGCTTCGGATGGCGTGTATTCTTCTGTATCGATCTGGTCTGACAAATCCGAAAATTGGAACATTCCGCTTCTTTCTTTTAGCTGGTTACGAAGTTGGTCAGCCATCTTTTGCAGTCTTTCTTGATCCCCAACTTGGCTAAAGCCATGGTGGCTTTGGAACTCCCTCAACGACACTGACCTCATGTTTTCCCGAGCTACTCTAAGTAGGCGGTTCAAATGCGTGACCCATATTATTGTTCTAGATTCATGCATTATCACCTGACATGGACCGACCCACCTTCCTTTTTCAAGCATATTCGGGGCTTTTCTTTTATCCCAAATCATGCATAGTTCTCCGCAGTTCCAGTCGTGCTCCCTGCCTCTGGATTGCCGTAAGATTGCTCTTCTTATTGCTTCACTGTTATCTGCGTCAATCATGGCTTTCCGGGCTTCGGTTCGAATTTTCATTCGTTGTTTGAACACTTCGGATTGTGTTTCGTTTCCTGCTCCTAACGAATGTGCAACAATTGTTTCATCACTGCATACTGAACCTGGGATTCTTCTGGCTCTACCTAACACTGCCTGTTCTGGACTAAAGCCCTTTACCACGCTCATGCTGTTCTTTGCTTGGAAGCACTGAGTCAGAGCATAGTCGAAATCCCTGTCGCTTGATATGGGGATGTGATGGTCTATCCTACTCAGCATTTCTTTCACGGTTCCTCCATGTCTTTCTATCCTACCTCTTTGCCAAGGTGCGGCCGTTGTCACGGAGTGGATTCCGTTTTGCTGTAACATGTCTTTCCATTGCTGACTCACGAACTCCCCTGCAAGGTCATGAACCATCGTTTCTGGGGGACCCGCCCAATTCATCCATGTTTCGATGACTACCTTTTCTGCTTCTTCTGTCCCCCTTTGACATCTTTTCCCTAAATGAAAGTGTGTGGATTCATCAAAGATGTGAATAACATAGAACTTCTTTCCTTTTTCACTCTTCCATTCGAAACCGTCTATGGATATCACTTCATTGAACTCCTTTGGCTCTTTCAATTTTCCGGGACTGGTCAACTTAGGACTCACTCTCTCTGAACAAGACTGGCACAGATAATCGGCGGCTCCTTCAATCACCTCATTCGAAAACTTCAATCTTCGAAGATGGGCTGACAATTTTTCTGCTGTTGGATGGCCAAGATTATTGTGCATTCGTTGTATCACAGATTTCTGAAAGCTATCGAGCTTT